CACTGTAAGCTCCTCCATTAAGCATCCATCTCCATTCATCAACAACTCTTGTTTTACTAGATGGAGGAAGTTATTGATGACATAATCAACATGGAATCTAGATTTAATGATGAAGGGATAGGTTGCTCTGAGACACCACTACTCATGCAAAGAACTGTAAGTAATTATTGTCATAGTTTTTTTATAAATGAAATGGATAAATCAGCTGAGAATTGTGGTTCAGTATTGTACGCAGGAATCTGTCCATCTGTCCTTCATCATCTTCCCTAGTATGAAACTACCTGAGAAAATTTTACATTGTGATAAAATTCTGCATTGTTTCAAAGCTTCCTATCTACCTCTGTTTATTGAAGACGATCAGTTCTGAAATTATGAATTCATCCCCTTGTTATGGTGTGTAACCTTTGTGTCACTAAGTATCTTGATTTCCTTGTCAAGTTGTAATTAAACAATTTTAGTACTCAAGAAGCTCAGAGAAATAGTACCAAACTTTTGCTGGAATATAAAGCAACAGGACCCATTTTTTTCATTAAGTTGGGTTACCTAGCATTCATTTTCATTTTCCTAGATAGTGGGCGATGGCAAACTTTGGTCAAAATGAGATTTAATCAGGGATGGGCGACCTGTGTCCCTCAGCATCATTTCATGTGGCCCTCAGCCTACCTTCAAAAACCCTCAGTTCAGACATCTGGCATGAGTCATTCACTCCTTCCTTGGCATCTTTGGCCATCCATGCAAGCCCCAGCAGATTACTCAGAGAAAAACATCGTCCAATGCTGATTTAACTCCTGGCCAAATTAATATGCTAGATTAAGAAATGCCTTACAGCTGTGATATCCAGCAACTGATGTAAGTCATTGGTTTTGCAGGATTCATGGACAAATATGTTGAGGCTGAATGAAATAGCATTCAATATGCACTTAAGCAACAATGGCTTCTTTAGAAGCCTACAGTTATCAGGTATAAAAATAATGGAATACTGTGTGTACATTTAAGTTACCATTTTAATGTATTATTTTTATGGAAATTTTCAACCTGCCTCCTCCTAAAATGTTCTTAAGGGGGGTTGTAAAAACAGATTAAATATGCAGAAGATATCAATTGATAGAAACATAAAATATGCACAATCAGTTGCATACAAAAAATACAATAAACATTATAAATAACTAATAAACTGAGGTGACATTTGCCTCCCTCCTGAACTTGTAGTGTCTATTTGTCCTCCTAGGCTAAAATGTATTCTCATTACACCTTAGCTAGTGCAATTTGTATGAGCAATTTCTAGTCAGTAATTACCACGACCATCAAAGATTAGTACATCTGTGCTGAAAGGGATCAGAGTAAATATTAACAACCTGACTTGCTTATCTTTGGTAACTAGAAAAGCTGCAGAAGACAACATCAAGGCAAACGTCTTTGTCAAGCATATTTTACACTGGATTAAACTCAAAGTTCAAGAAAGCTTCAAAGGTCACCTTAGTATATGAGGTGCAGCATTCCATTACTAAGTTCTACTTAAAAGGTTTGCAAAAGGAGAAACAGACAAAATAAGCATGGAGCTGTTGTGGAATGTACACCTCCTTAAAAATAGTACAAATAAATGTTCTTTATTACTACGCACATAAAAATACGGAAGGTTCCTCTTCAGTTTACAATCTGAACCTCACACTGCAATTCTTTACCCATCTGCTCAGTGGGAAGTTCTATTACCTCAATGGGGCATAACTCCAGGTAAGTGGGTATAGGATTGCAGTTGAATTAAGCCAGTAACTTAAGCATAGCAGCAATCTCTGCGATCAGGAGTTTATGATGCATCTACAAAGAAGCACTGAAGATCAAAAACTTGACTACTGTTTACCATTAGTTGTGCTTCCTGGATCTTCATGTGTAAGGAAAATTTTACTGGTGGTTGGGTAGGAACTATATACAGGCTGTGCAGTGTTCATTTCATACTTTGGACTCAGCTCGTGGCATATTTTCCAAAAAGAAAGATTAGGCTACAACTAAGTTAAGGAACTATACTAGAAATAGTCATGCATTTAGAGCTTTCCTTCTTTCTTCAACAAATTGTGTAATCTCCTGTATCTCAGAGGATGTGATCACAGGTACAGAATGCATAGCAGAGAGGTTTCTACAGCAATGAAGAAGCTTTTCCAGCCAGAAGGCCAAATTCCATCTGGGAGATGCTCTTCAGAACCAACCTTCTAGTGGTTTCCAGAGCCAAGGGGAAAAGTGACAGGGTCAAAGATGAAAACATGCCAGGATATTTTAATGTAAAGTTTCTATTGCCATTCTTTCAGACATAGCAGAGTCATTTCAACCTACCAGACTGAGTGAAAAACTGCACAAAAAGTAGGAAACTGCAAATGATGGATCTTTCTGCAGAATTAGTAAAGAATGTACCTAGAAGCTTAATTTACCATATAGATCACCATATTGTGCTTGCACTCCGTTTCCTTGTGTGCCTGCATTCAGAGGATGGGTGCCACTATCAAGAAGGCCTGCTAACGTGCAGTTCGTTGATGACATGCTATTTGCCATGGGATGCTCAGCAAAATTTCTTTAGAAGTTGTTCAGGAGTTGTTTGGCTATATGTAGGGGAAGATGGCTTGCTAGGGGATCTGGTCCAAAGTTGTTTAAGGCTTAGAATGTCAGCAACAAAACCTTGCACCTTTAAAGAATTTCCTTCCAAGTATATGCTTTTAGCTTCAACAAATCTTCTGATACCACTTATGCTAGGTATATAACAGAAGGCCTTACTTAGTTTTATGAGTGATGTAGTTCCACAAAGCTGGATAGCCTTGACATATTTACAGAGTCAGGTCTAGTAAATAGAAATGTGCGAAGTAATCACAATCATGACTTACTTAACCCCATTCCTACTCATTGGTAGCTGCTTTGGGATGATTACTCATTGGTATCCCACAATTCATTGCTAGAAATTAGTGAAAGGCAAATTGGAGAATCATGGATTAACAGCAGCTATGCTTCCCCATTTACGTCTGGTTAGGCCTTAAGCTATTGATTATAAAATGATGTTTGTTACTTTTTTTCACAACAAAGTGTAAGTCTTCATTAGGATTGCAATGTGAAATTTACCTGAAATTAATCCTTCTTGGTTTTTCAAGTCTTGAAACCCTAAATACATCAGTTTGAAAGATGGTGATATGAAGGGTAGATTTAGTGAAGAGACTAACATACTGAATTTAACAGTTATGCAGTAGCCTTTTTCATGCCTTTTTCCACTGGGAGGGTAATGCATGCAGTGTGGACTAGAGGTAGTGAGGCAGTTTCAGCTTGGAGGGACTGTCCCCAAGGCAAGCTTCGTGACTGAACAGGGACTCAAGCCTAGGTCTCCCAGGTCCTCAGTCTAGCACCCTAACCACTGTGTCACATTGGCTGACCATACTACACCATCTCTAAGCCACACGTTGAATGTGGAAGTCTGCAAAGAGGCACTTGAGCATCAGCAGCACTTAATATGTAGGCATGTCACATGATCAGGCCATCTGATTGCACAGGGTTCCTGATTACATGGCATGCTTGTGCAGAAGCAGCAGCTGATGCTTAGGAGCTCCTTGGCAAACATTGTGGGCAGGGATCTATACTCCCTTCTGTGCATTAGCCCTACATGTGAAGTGGCGGGAGGAGGATGTGAAAAATGTTGTATCAGCTGTCTATAACATATGTTAACTTGGCAGTTGTTAACTGTATTTATTTAACAATATTTAAGAATTGCTTATATTAAAGACACTAAAAGTGATGTATAATACATTCTTGGCCATTCCTGTTGGAAAGAGTATGTCTTTAGTATGCGTCCCATGTGGCAAATTATATCTGCACAATTTCTAGTTGCAGACCATGGGTACTATAACAGCAAAACCCCCATGTTGATCCATGATGGAATCTTGGGTACCAACAGAAGGGTCGTTCCTGAAGAAGGCAACAGTTGAGCAGCAGCTGATCTCTTAAGTATCCTGGTCCTTCATTGCTTATGAAAAAAAAAGAAGGCCAGAAGTGTGTGTGTTGCAAAAATAATTCCGCTCTTACATTTTAGAAGACTCGGATCTATAATCAAGCAAGCAACAGGACTGGCATTTTGGTGTGTTGCTTGAGGAACTACCGATGAGTATCCAATTTGTTAATTTCCCCACTTGTTGGTCTGGCAGTTGACTGCACAGCACATGCAGTTGTTGCTGAAGGCTGTACATTCTGTGTTTGTCCTTGAGTCGGCCCATTTCCTCAGCTCCTCTGTAAATGCTATCTGAAGTGCCTGGTGAATATATGTGGTTGAAGTATATTCCATGGTAATTTAGAAGGAACTGAAGGAAGGCTGTTCCTTTCCTTCCTGTTGAGCTTTCTGCCTTTGAAAACCAGGTGAAAGCTGTGAAGGGAAGCATTCCTTGCTAAAGTGCTCAGGTTTTATTCTGGAGCTGCCAGTCACTTATAAATAGAAATGTGATGGGACTAACCAATTCACACTCTACATTAAAAAAAAGATAGTGGATAGAGAAGAGAGGAACAGAGTTTGTTAATCTTTTAAAAGAGGAGAATATATTTCTCACAAAATACTCCACACATTAAGTGTGCATTGCTAACTGACTGTCATGTTATGCCATGCCTTAAGATATTTCTTTTGCTATCCCAAAGAGGTGGTCTGCAATTTGAGAACTTTGAATGTTGACTTATCTCCATGAAAGGCTTTGGAAAGAAAGCTCTTTGCCACTGTGGTCTTCTTCCTTTATAATATAGAGGGTCATTGGCCCTGCCTACCACTGGAGTTCAGCCCCCAACAGTTTCCTTTGAGCTGAAAGCTGTTTGATAACCTTGGTCTGAATCCTGTCATAGAGCCAGCAAAAAATGCAGCTGATGGAGGATCTAACTCTGAGGAACTGGTTCATGAGAAAGTAGCCTAGTCACACGAGAAGGCCAGACCTGAGTGTAAGGCAGATATATTCTGCTGGAAATTTATTCATTATTTTTATTTATTATATTTATATTCCACTTTTTTCCTTTCAAGGAACTCAGAGTGGCTTACATCATTCTTCTCCTGTTCTCAATATTATCCCCACAACAACAACCCTGTGAGGTAGGTTGGGCTGAGAGTCTGTGACTGGCCCAAAGTCACTCAGAATACCTGAATCCAAGTCTCTTGCTCTT